CACAAATATATATATATATATATATATATATATATATATATATATATATATATATATATATATAGAGCTTTAAAAACGAAGGTATTATTTATTTATAATACCAAAGTGGTAGTAAGACAAATCTTCTCTATGATGTAAGTGAAAAATTGTAACAGTATTAATATTTCATTGACATAGTATACATTTGTGGTAGTAAAATACGTGAAAATGATATACAAAGGCAAAAAAATGATTTCGTCGTTCAAAACAGCAGGATATATAATTATAGAAATTTCATTTTACGTATTTTAATATAAAATAAGTAGAAATCGTTAGCAATCATATTTAACACAACAGCAAAATAATTACATGGAATATTGCATGCTTATACTATATATCTTTAATCTATATAATAATATGTTTAATTGTACAAAAATTTGCATAACAGTATGCAAAATGATGTACACTCGTTTTAATTTATGATAAAAATATAATAGTTATTGTGCGAATTATATAAAACATTTTATCAAAATATAATGATCGTATTGAATAAGCCGTACAATAACAATAATCGATTATTTGTATATAAATTTTTTGATCGTATTTCTACCACGTATTCCTTCAATAAATTTTTTTATGTTAAAATATACATTGTGTATTTAAATTTTCCTAAGTAAAAGCATCAGAATCGCTAACTTGCATTGAGATCATCTTTGTTTTTAGCAGTAAGCTCAAAAATCATATCCCGCATACGGCTCAATTCTTTCAATTCCCCTTTCATTCTTTCAATATTTCTATCTTTTTCTGATATAGTTTGCTCAGAGGTCTGTAGTATATGTTTCATTTGTTCAATTTCTTGCTTAAGCGCAGATATATCACTTTGATTTGCTTCTATCTCTGCACTTTTTTTCTCTAAAATCTATAACATATAAAATATAATAGAATTTGAGTTAGAAACATTTTTTAGAGATGAAATATAGAGAATTAACTATACCTGTTCTTTTTTGCCAAGGGAATCTTGCATTTTTTGTAAAAGTTTACTTAATTCATGATTTTTATTGCTCATATCTGTAGCCTTTGCTTCGGCAATTAAAAGTTCATTATCTAATTCTTTGATTTTTTTGGTTAATATATCAATTTTATTATTACTATCTTCTAAGTCTTTTGTACACTGTGTCAGTTTTTCATTTAAATTTTCTAAATTTGTCGACTTTTCGGCTACAATTTTTTTCAAGGATTCATTCTCCTAAAATGCAATAGTCATTATTATAAAAATTAAAGAAATTGTTAAAGCAATTTCGCATTTGTGTAATAATAAGCACTCACTTTTTTTTTTAACGAAAGCGCATTCTGAGATTGATTTTCTTTCTCGATAAATTTTTTGGTTAATGCACATTTTTCCGCTTTTGTTCCTTCCAAAGATTGCTGGGTATCAAATAATAATTGATGTAATCTACTAGACTCAGCCACTATTTGTGCTAATCTGTGTTGTAGACTAGTAGCATGATTATTTGCTGCTTCTAAACTTGACCGCATTGCCCTTTCAGAATGTCTCATTGTTGCTAACTTTAAAGAAATTACAATATGATAAGATATATCAAACTGTGTACACTATCAATGTAAAAAAAGATTATTATAACATTACAAAAAAAGGTTATTATAACATTATAATGTATAAATTTTATACCTTATATTCATATAATTCCATGACCGCGGACGTTGGAATATCACTAGTTTGATTTGATTCGAGTTTGGTTAAAAATGCATCGAGGCGTTCTTCTTGCCCAAAGGAAAATAACGGCGCCAATTCGTTCCCGATATAATTCAGGGACACTTTACTCGAGATCTCCAATATATTGTTATTGGTATTTTGAACCAATATCAATGGTTCTAATTCTTTCATGCAAAGTGCTACTGCGGAAACACTTCTCAAACAGAAATTCTATATGTACAACTGTCACATGTTAAATTAAGATGAACATCTTATCACATGTGAAGGGTTTACCATTCTTGTGGAAATCCAATCGATGATGTCAACTGCAAGGCTTTGTGCTTAACTTCTGCATCACCGGTGAACAATGCTAGCGCTATTATCATTTGTATTTGTTTTTTACTGAGCAATTCAGAATATAGAGTTAACCAGTTGGAATGATTCGCTGCCAAATCTGCTGTCAAGGCTAAAGCGTGAATGTAAAGGTTGGTAGAAGCATTCTGTAAAGTCGAAAACATCAGTACTTTAACGTGTGCAGCACAGCATATTAAATTCTGTATTTACCTGCATAAAGTTTCTAGTCCAATCTCCACAGGCGGAAAAGTCATTATTCAGCACATGATTGAACTGTTTGCGCATTGCATGTTCGTTGAATGAGCTCATAATTTTCTTTTTCAGCGCAGGAGTTTTAATCATTTCTTGAAACAGCTGCATCAATTCGGCTTGCTTCATTTCTGCGTTTTGACCTTCACTTTGATCATTAACTTCGTCCTCCTGATTCGTTATAAGCATTAGGACAGACGGATCTATCTCTGTTAAAACTTCAGCACAGGTTCTGGTGCGTCGAGAATCAATTATTATGCTTCGTATAAGTGCTAAAGCTTTTGAACACACCTATGTTTTTCAACAGAAATTTTGATTAAATTACTGATTAATTTCTCGTATTCCATCTTTTCCTTTATATATTTCGAATTATTGCATTAATAAGAATTATGAAAAATGATAATAGAGATTACGAGCGCGAGCGTGGCATAGCAGACAGCGCATTGGTCTATCATGCCAAAGATCTCGGGTTCGATCTCGGTAGGAACCAAAATATTTTCGCTTGTGTCTCCTCTCGGAAAAGGCCGGCAACCTTCTGACCACAGAAACACCTTTCGAAAAACCCGCCGTTCAGAACCGGCATTAAAACTATAGGTCACATATGCTTGTGGCAATTTTGAATAATCAACGTGCGCACCACAAGCACATGAGAGAGGTGTAACATAGGCCAGAGGACTAAGAATAAGAAAATAATAAAGATTACGTACCTGTTCCACAGGTACCCATGTCATAGCTGATTTTATACATGCAGGATACAAAGGCGTTATGGCAGTTAATTTCAGCTTCACCAATAATAATAAAAATTCCATCATGAAAGCGACGCATTCCGGATCTGTGTTCTCTTCCAAAGTAGCCAATATATTTTCAATATCTTTGCCGTAACTAGTCAACATTGAAAATGTATATAAGTATATTGGGTGTTATCAAAAAAGGAGGTCATAGACTTTAAAGACAAAAACTAAATCAAAAAGTCCTAGTAAAGTCCGAAAACAAATGGTCCAAGAGATATCTTGGCAACCGTTCGTTTTCGGACTTATGTTTATTAAAACTTTTGATTTATTTTTTGTCATTCTATATACTTTTAAAATCTGTGATCCTTTTTTGATAACATTCTGTATGTTTTATCTTTGAAATATTTTATGCATTATGTTACATAAGAACCAGACTTGATCGACTTACTTCGAATATGTGAGTAGAACATTTCGCCAATGTTCGTTTTGCCCAATATCGTTAAAAAAGTCGACGATATGTCTCAATAATAAAACATCTTTTTGTTTCATCGCTTTTCCCAGATTAATAAACGTTACCGATGCAAAATCTGTGATATATTTCTCATACATGTTCGTGTTACTTGGTTCCAATATAATTAATAACTTGCAACATTGTACACTAGTATTGACATGATCTTGTAATTTCACTAACGTTCTAATAAATGCTTTAGTATTGACGGTTCGCATCAGCGTGTATACTGCCGGAAGATTTTTATAACATAGATTTACCAGTACACCTAAAGAT